ATGATGATCCCTTTTCTCTTCCTGGGTTCGATCAGCAGTGGAGCATGGCGATTTCTTCAGTTTTTGTTGTCAATTCCAAAGCATCGATCTGTTTCAAGCTCGGAGCTTGTTGGAGCTTGTGGGCGCGGAAGCGGAAGCTCAGCCGCGCGCGCTTTTGCGATGAGGCCTTAGCCGCGTGCGCTTGAGAGCGGAAGAAGGGGAGACCCTGCAAGAAGTCGAGTTCGGACCTTAGCATTTTAGGACACAGGGACTGTGGGACTCGTTCGCGCGCACACGCGTGCCTTGCGATGCTGGGTCGATGGGTCGAGGAGAACTCGTGATGACGATGGTTCTCTGTCGTGTTGCTGGGTCGATACACGGTGGTTAGCGGGAACCTGCGTGCTGTACTTTTGCTAATGCACTTGGGAGTCCTTCGATGGCTCAATAGAGTTTACAATTATACGTGTTAATTAGTTGCGGTTCTTTTTTGGGAAGAGATGGTCAACTGGAACAAAGCCGGGATCCCCTGGAGCAGCTCAACAAACCCAAGGCCTGGGGAGTGTGGTTGAGAGATCTATTGACCATTTGTCGTACCTTTGCCGAGAGTGGTGTCGAGGGCCCTTAGTAGAAGGAAAGAGAAAGAATCAGATCTATCAGATCTATAACATTCTAAAACACACTCCGAAGGCAACAACCACATTCTCAATTTATTAGGACGGAGGTGTCCAAATGGAAGTGTTGTTTCACTGCCGAAGTTTCGCGTCAGCTTTTCGTTTTCACTCGAACCTCCTCATTCAAACATGCGCTCTCTCTCTCTCTCTCGCAGTCTTCAGCCCAGGACTGTTGAGCGCACGGCTCGCGCCCGCGACGAAGCAGCTGCTCCCGCGGCCGCGGAGGGCGAGCGGAGCATGGAGAGTGCGAAGGTGCGGCGACTCAAGGAGATGGTCTTCCGCCAGGCGCGGAGCCGCCGGGCACGGACGCGGACACGTCTCTCGACGGGCCGAGCGCGGGAGACGCGGAGACGTTGGAGGACGGCCCTGTGGTTCGACGGGAGACGTCGGAGCGAAGCTCGCGCAGAAGTCGCGCTCGCAAGCGATGCGTGACACAAGCTGAGCTGATGAGTTACCAAAAGTGACCAAAGTCCAGCTAGATATAGCTACATAGAGAGCATGTTTAGCATGTGTCGGAGAAAACGTCTTGGTCGCTTGGCCCTCTTCTGGTCCGCCATGGTCCGTGCAGCCGTCCGTTAAGCATCTGCATCCCCACTGTCTGCAGGGGATGAAAGTGGCCATTACCTCTGGAGAGTTTGCCGTGGGCTGAGCAATTGAGCATAGTTGAGCAGGACCATACATGGGGGGAGGCAGTTTATAATATACGTACTGTACTATAGAATTATAGAACGGGTATACCCCAGTCACTGCCAGTGCCTGGGTCAATTTCAAAGGACTATTTGAGCCAGCAATAGATTAAGATGGTTAAGTCTGAGGTGGCTACTGTAGGATTCGTCAAATGGATGTTTGACCTTCTACGTTTAATCATGAGCCTTCTTGGAGGAGAATTCAATCATAAACGGTTAAAAAATGATGGGATATCTGACCGTTGATGGCGTAAGACGTTCTAGCCCCACATGCCACCAACTATCCGCCTCAATGTATAGAATCTTGATTATAATCACCGTAATAACCCCCCCAAGACCTGGATTCTAAAGCTGGCCGAAGGGATGTTTGATCAAGAGATGACCAGTGACACGACCCGCCTTTCGCCGAGCCGAGCCGTGCTCAGCGTGAACCGCCTCGCTGGCCTAGTCTAGCGGCCGAGGCGCTCCGCCTGGGTGGCGCTGAAGAGCCGGGTCTAGTGGATTACGAGGCCGGCCGCGGTGTTTCCGGGGCGAGGGCGGGGTGGGTCGAACCAAAAACAAGGGGGACGCTTTCAGTAATGTGGGGGGGGGCTGAATGGGATCGAATAGGGTCGAATCGGATCCAAGATTCGGGAGACCCCGTGCAGTTCCTTTGTTGTTTGATCCATTATTGTATTGATATATGTTTATGGTGTGGCCCATTGCCTGTGAGAATCGGTAAACAATGATCAGTTATTACAGGGAATGGGATATACCGATATACCTATGCTGCTCCTTCCACGGCGTTGGAAAGTGCGCGCCTAATTTTTCTTGCTGTCCCCCAAGCTCGAGCGCAACGTTGTTTCAGATATGTTTGACTATGTTTTACATCCCTGTCCGGTGGAAAGGAAGATGTGCCCACCCATCGAACTAATCTTCTTGCCGCCAATAAAGGGTGATAGACAGTCCTCACTTCCCTGTACAAAGCGGACGTAGCCAAAGAGTTCGAGACCCAGAAGTGATCATCACCACCCTTGGTGCAAGATTTGAGAACTGTAGAGAATCCTTGACTAAGACTCTGGTGATTCTAAGTTACTTAAGTTCATTTGCAATCTACCAACGTTTAAGATCTTCTTAGTGATCTGTAGATAAAACTCGGACAAAGCTGACAAAGCTCGTGGGATCATCATCATCATCATCATCATCATCATCATCATCATCATCATCAT